ATGCCACATTGAATCCGGTGCCTTTGAAAGACTTTCTTGGTTGTATAGGAGATTTATGATCAATGGTTGCAGCATCTGTTGACCATCTTTTCTCAATGATTGGTGCGTGTTTGGATGCATGAACACTGATTTTGGTTCCTGCTTCAACTGGTTAACAGTGAACTTTAGAAGTTGATTTATGGTTCTTCTATTGGCTATATCATAATCTTGTGATATATATGTAATTTTGCTCATATGTAACTAGTACTTTGTCTTTTCATTTATTCATGTGACTAGAATAGAAGTACATGATCAATTGAGCATGAATTTTTGTGTCCTTTGGGGAAAAGACAAGAAGAAACGAACGCATAATGAGATGTATACTATCAAATGTTCATCTATATTGTTTACAGCCAAAAGTTATGTGTGTGTAAAGAATCACTAACCCGTGGGACTGTCTTTGGATGAATTGATACTTCTGGTAGTTGCGAAATCTACTGACTTCCTGCTCTCAGCACCTGACTCGTTTATACCAACTACGATAGTGTTTGTTCTTGCTGTAATCAATAAACATTATAAGGATAAATATAATGGAAACGAGCAGAGGTTGGTTATTTGATTTTTAATAACAGCTGACAAATAAGACCAAATTAAACTGTAGTCTGTTGGTTTCACTTTCTTTGCTTGTGAGCATAAGGTTGCATGCTACGTTATTCTATGTTATTCTATGTGTAGAAAGTCATAATTGAATCATGTATATTTAATTACAACATCATTTCCCTATGATTGAGAGTCTGCATTAAATGTCAATGGTGTTTAATACGCAGCTGTTATTTTATGTCTCCTGCATACATTTATCGCTGAGTATCAGACAATTATTTTGTTGTCGGTCTATATCGTTCTATTGAACTATCTAAATGTGATAAGATATCATCCATATCTCTGTTAACTTATTTGTTTATGTAATAAATAACATGATAAAGTTAAAGATAACCCACCTTATCTATTTGAAGCCTCTGTGGACATCCGATGGTTATTTAATGCATATATGCTATCTCTTGGCCGTCTCTTATATTGTTGCTCATTCTCAGTAACTAAGCCGATGTAATGTTGAAGTGTAGGCTTAAAGGGTGGCAGTAAAATTGAAGATTTAGCGGCAGCGCCATCTTGGTCAGAGCTGAACCCGAGAGAGCTAGAGGCATTAGTGCTCAAACTCATCAAACTATTACTTTTCTGTGAACTTTCATTGCTTCCATTTTGTACTTTAGGTGCATCAACATAATGAGGTTCTTCTGCTGCTGCTGCTGCTGCTGGTGCATTTATCACTTGTAGGATTTTGGGAATGGAGTGATTGACAACGATTACATTGCAGTTAATCTGTCTTGAGCAATATTCACTCTCCTTCTTTAGGGGCCTGTCCTCGTAATGCCCTCAATTTTTTGAGTTCTAGTAGTTTAAAAGATTAATCCTGTAGTATCGTTGTTTTGAACTTACTGCCCCTATAGTTTCATTTTGGCAGACAGAACCCCTGGGTTAAAATTTTTTACTCTTTTACCATGCTTGAAATTTCGGCAGCTTGCCAGTGGGTCAAATTAGTGAGTGTATCTGAGGGTAAAAGAGAAAAAAATTTGCCCAGTAGCCCTATCTACTGAAGTAAAACTACAGGGGCAGTAAGTTCATAAAAACGATACTATAAGGGGTACATGTGTAGTAAACCCCATCATAATCTAGAAATATCAGTACTCACCCATCAAGAATTACCCAGCTTGCCCGATACTCTTCAGCTTTATCAGCAACAGAGTTGATCTGTGCATGTTGAAGGATCCTCACTTGCATTCGGACTTGCTTCACATTATTTTTGCAACACAAATCATTCATCATCTCCAAACAGACTTCAGTTAACCCTTGCATGTTCTCATCATATACTACATTTAAGCTCTTCTTTTCTTTTATACTATCATTCCGCAGGTTCCATTTCTTTAGCAATGCTGATCAAGAATGCAGAGAAGATATATGAAGATCAATTTCCGCAAGAAAATAACTAGTAATAGAGAATAAAGAGAGATTGATTTTACAAGTAACAAGTGGGTTGAAGCCTGATCGATTATTCGGATTGCCTGAGAACATCGGTTTTATCAGTGCCAAGAGGACTAAGGTATCGTTATGTTGAACTATATTGCCTATTGCCCACTCTAATGCATAAGCAGTTATCTCCTTGGTTGCGTCTACTGCTACTACTACCACTGAGCTTTCCTTTGCATGGGCATCGCCTGTTCTTCTCAGACCTCCCATTTCTTGCTCTTTTGCTAAGGACTATGGTAATGTCACACCTTGACATGATAACTAAAGAGAAGGATCAATGTGGTCATATTAGACTCAGTCATATTGCTCATTTGCCTCCACTGGGCATGATTAGTGCGATTTTTGTGTTGTGGCTGTCCTTACGTCCACTTAGTAGGATGCTGAGAATAAATATTAGATTCTCTACTGTGTTCTATTCTGTTGAATATTTCCTATTTTCAATTTTAATGATGATTTCAGCAATCACATATTTTAGCAGCCGACTTTGAACTGTCTCAATTACCCTGCACATTTCTTGTTTGATTATAATTAAGTAATTGGATAAAAATTCTATCAGCGCGATTGTTGAAGTAAGCCTGTTTCAGAATCTGAATGGAACGAGAGCAGACAATGGCTAGAGACACGGTGAAGTTAAGAGTATGGAGGAACTTGGAATTAAGTATTGAATTGAACTAGTCAGTTTCTACACTATAATGATGTTTCCGGTATTATGCGGTTGGCTGGCCGGTTATTTAGTTGGGATTTAGTATGATTCAGTTTGTATTTGGATGATGTTGGCGGATTTTAAAGGCTATTATGCTCACCTGAACTAGTGATTGTTTTCTCATTCAACTGTCAAAACTTTGAGAATCATAATCAGCAGCTTGCTGATCTCAGATATTCTGTGTCTTCAGATCTCTGCATACGATACAGCGGCACCTTGGGATTGTTTGGCTACTTGCAAGTGTAATTGCTATAGTTGTTGAAACTGTTGTCACATGCGGTTGCAGTTGTGTTTTGCTCAGTTCAAGTTTAAAACTTGCGGTTTGTAATAGCAATTGTAGTTTCATGCGCTTGTTGTTGTTGTGCTTGTTGTTGTTGTGCGACAAGATTTTTTTTTTTAATCTTTGTTGGGAGATGGCTGCAATCAGAGTTACAATTTAAACACCTTTTACTGCATAAAAGATTGCAAACGCTACTTACTGGATGAATTTGAAGGCGTCAATTGCAATGGAAGATCTTTTTGCAATTGCAGTTCCTATCTTATTTATCAATCACAGCTACGCAGCTGCAGTTAGAATGAACGGACAAGCTCCTAGATGTGCAACACTCAATTTCTGTGATAAGATATTGGTATATGCTCCCCTCTACTTAATCTTCAGTAGGTTATGCAAGTAATCTCCAGGCCTTTGAAAATCACTGCATGTTTCATAAAGGCTTCACAGTCACTCAACTGAGATGACATCAAGAGATTATGATATCAATCTGACGAAAGTGCTCTATAGATAACACCACTTGTCTTGGCAACATATTATGCTGAAGGACGCATAAGGTAATGATGAATATAAGGACAGCTAAAAAGGAAGAAAATACATAGAAGACCCCCATGCTGCTGTTACACATTTCATCAAGCTCCATGCATCTGAGTCTCATATATAAACGTGCAAACACCCTTCCATTATTTCCTTTCCTATAGTTCATCTGACCTCGACGCACCTAGAACAAAATGCAAAGTTTAGTGGCATGTAACAACTAAGCTATATAGATGAACAACTTTAGAGACTTACTTACAACCATAGAAGAAGAAATTGCATAAGAGAAAAAAGATTATTCATCAAAAGGTTTCATCCTTCCTGGTACAAAGAGACCAAACAATTGCACTTGACATTTTTTTGTGATGTTATAACCCCTGAAACTAATCCAGAATCAACAAACAAAAAGAATCAAAACATACAACAACAACAAAACAAAACAATCTCTGTCAAAAGAACTCCATGTCCAAATATCTATCAGAATTCTTCACATTAACACCCCCTCCACCATTCTCACCACCCACACCAACCAAATGGTCACCATTCTTCCTTTTATAAGGCCTCGGTATCTCCGGAGGGCAAGCACACCTTATCAAAGCCCAATTCACACTCTGAAAAAATGGATGCTGCTTAATCTCAGTAGCCCCTCTCTTATAAGCAAGCCTCTGTTGAGGTTCCTTCACAAGCAAACCCCTGATCAAATCCCTTGCCGCGAAACCCACATTTGGAACTTCCGGAAACTTCAGAGGCTCACCAACCACATTAAACAAAGTAGCCCGGTTCCCCGACCCTTTAAAAGGGGTTTTTCCAAACAAAAGCTCATATAGAAAAATCCCAAATGTCCACCAATCAACTGCGCTGCCATGGCCTTCGCCTTTGATGATTTCAGGAGCAAGGTACTCGTGAGTCCCGACAAATGACATGGAGCGTGCGCTGGTGGGCTCTGCTAAAAGCTCGGGGAGAGGGGTAAAGTGAGTTGAGGTTGAAATTTCGCTGTTGTTTCTTGGTTTGTTGAGATCTTTGGATCGGGAGTTTGATAGAAAGCGAGGAGGGGCGAAGCAAGTTGGTTGGATACAAGAAGGAGGCTGGATGCAGGAGGAGGGTTCAATGCAGTAACCAGAGGATTTTGAGGACGT